AGCTATTTTACATATAATTTTTTCTTTAATTTATTAATAAAATATATTTTTAAAATATTTTTTTCTTAAATCAGCAGAATCAGCCAAAACAGCCACTCCAGCCAGAATATCATAAATTTCAGCAGAATCAGCCAAAACAGCCGATTTTGGTACTACCAAACGGGCTCCTAATCATTTTGGGATAGCAAGAGTTGTTTTTAATTTTAGCTTTATTTTGAGGAGACTAATAATATAGGCCTGACCGGCCTAGTTTGAACATCTAAATTTATTCGTTCTGAACATTATTACTAGTTTGAATTATTTTTATGAAAAACACTCGATAGAGATTAGTATCATAGAATCACTAAGAACCATTATTCTTATGAATTTCGTCTTTTTATTAAATTGTCATGTGACACGAAATATATTAGCTAGATAGATGAGAAAACAATTGCATAACTCTTTATCATCTAATATATACGTGCAACACAAAATGTAGCAACAGCTTATACATATTCATAATATCAAATTTTTACTTACACTACAATATGAAATCAAAAAAGTGTACAATTTTGGGCAAGTGGCTACTTTGGTTTGTAACAAAATGGCAATGCGCTAGTCGATGCAATTCAAACACATTAACGCTATTGACCTCGCGAGCTTTATCTTGGTGAATGGGAACGTAGAATTGGTGATATGTTTCTTCTTGTTGGTTTCTTCGATTGTGCAATTTACAAAGCAAGCTGGTTTCACTCTTTTATAGACACAACTCGCACAAATCACCATATTTTCGTTATGGTTTCAAGACTGTCTAGCTCACAACCAATCTTCAGATAGAAATCACATTAGTTTGAATCTAATAATTTTAATAGAGTTGAGTTGAATTCGGGACTCAATACCTTTACAGTATTCACAATGGCGGGAGCAGGGCGGCATACTGAGCTAGTACAAAGGATATTTTGGGGAAAAAATTATGTGATTTTTCTTACCTAAATAATTAAAACAAAATTGTTGTTTGGGATGGGCGGGGCCTAGCTTGGCCCCTCTAGCTACACCCCTGAGTTTTCTGAAGAGGCGAGTATGTAGATCATATTAATTTTATCCAATATAAAAACGTTTTGCAATTCTAAAATACAAGTACCATATTTTTATTCCATATATAGATGTACGTAATTAATTCTAACCTTGAAAAATATTTCCATGTTTAAAGTATGGGGAAAATTCTCGAAATATAATCAAAACATTTTAGAATTCTAAAATAGTACCGCCATGTATAATTTTGATGAATACGTATTTCTTCTTCACCAAATAAAAGTAACTTATATTAGAACATAACAACGTAAAATGTGTATAAATAATAGTTCTAAATTTCAATATATCAATGCAAGAGATGAAAGTAGTGTATATTTAAATGTTTCACATACTTAAAACCGTCTTAAATCATAATATTTCATATCAATATCTTAAAAATCATTATAATCCTAACGCCGAACATCGACTTTCTAGAATTAGGAATTAAGAACTAAATGAAATACTATCTTTAATCATCATTAGTAAATAAAACAGTAAATTTTCAAATATTTCACTTTATTGTATTGGGTTTTCATTTTTCAAAGCTGAGAACCGAAAACAAAACCAAACTATTATGATTTGGTTCAATGTTTTTATCTCAATAATTACGAGCGGGTTCGACTTTTAGAAGTGAAAATTGAAACCAAAATCGAAACCACCAAAATAGTAGGGAGTAATATTGTGCATTACTATTATTACCTACACATGATCGAGCTAGAGAGCAAGGTAGATGCGTTTGATAAAAACGCCTTTTATCAATTTAATAATTAATACTACGTATAATGGACTCCAAGAGTCCAGTGCATTCATTGTGTACTCCCGAATGAAGTGTCAGGTAAATAAATACGGAGTATATATCATGTTACACAGATTTGTACAAGTTCTTATGGAATATGGAGAAAGTCAAAGTTATAACTTTAATAGAGTAACTTCATTCCTGTTCAATAAGATGTATTGATTACTTTTTCCAGAACTTTATTTTTTGCTTTTGGTTTCTATAAATACGAATTAACATAATTTGATTCATATTATTTCCCCATAATATTTTGTTACCTTAATTCCCATGTCAAGTCAGAACACGAGTAAATTGTTTGAATTTTCTTAATTTCATGTCAACGAATTAGACAGAGGAAAAGTTGAGATACCATATCTATCTGAACTTTAGCATCAATGAATCATGAATGTATTTTTGCTAGCCAAAACATACATAGTTACAGTCTTCTTATACATCTTCCATCCTTATTCCTTATATTATTTTATTTCTCTATACTTGCTATTATTATGTGTTCTTACATCTTTTTATGTCAATTCATTCATATATATTCACAACTTCAAATGCCCCGCAGGACTACAATCACTCATGATTAGTCATTGTTCAATATATAATCAATATATTAGGCTAAAGGGTCAAATAGATACATATATTGATTGTGTTAACTCCATTCAGTCCCTAAATGTAACTAAAAATGTCCAATTCGCACTCCAAACTGGCAATACTAGTTCAAATTTCAGTTTTGCGATAAACATCAAGTCACCCGCCACGTCGTCACCCTTCTGGTTGCCACCTCTGTATATGAAATAGAAACTAAAAGCTCAAATAATTCCCTCAACTTGTTCAAATTTCTCAATTACCACCCTCAACTCTAAAGAAGGTTCAACATTAGGATAAACTCAAAATATAAGAAAATAAATATAAAATAATAAAGATAAAGTACAAATATATATGGTAACTACTTTGATAAAATTCATTTTTTCTTGGTTCTTTGCTACACACGAAAGAAGTGTCATTGATCTCTACCTTAACTACCTTGATCACTATTTATTCCACGATCGAGTAACTAAGTAGAAAAATAACGATAAAAAACAATGACTCATAATTATGATAATAAATTGAGTTTTACTTTAAAAATTAATTTGGCAGACAATTTTCATTGAATTTAAGAGTCATATTAAATCTAATTTAACAAATATTAACATGAAGGGGCATATAGTGAGAATGATCAAAACTCAATGGGTAACTAACTGATTTTTGAAAATGCAAGGTTGCGTTAATAATTATGGCATAACCTCAGGGGGCTAATAATATTTTTTTCAAAAAATGAAATTTAACCATTTTTTGCCGATTTAAATTGAACATTTTTTTATTCTAGGACTGAATTGAGCTAACAAGACCGATACAAGGACCTATTTGACAAGTGAGCAATGTGTTAAAATGGTGTGGAATGTGGACCTTATTTCTTAAGAGCATGTACGATGGTTCAACTTAGGCATGGACCGGTTCCGGTCGGCCCGGGAACCGGCCCTACTCTCCACTGTGCGGGCTCGGACCGGCCTGGGAACCGAGCCTAGGACCGGCCCGGTGTGTTAGAGCGGTCCGGTGCCGGGCCTATTCAATTTTTTTGTTGTTTTTTTTTTCAATTTCTTTTGTTTTTCCCGGGTTGGGCTAGGTGTTTTGGGGGGTTTGGGGGGGTGGGGGTGGGGGTGAGGGGGGGGGAGTCGGGGGTTAATAAGAAAAGCAAAAATATATATGAACCGGCTCGGAACTGGTCCAAAAAATAAAAGCCCGGTTTGGACCGGTCCGGAGCCCTGCCCGGAACCGGTCCATGGCTAGTTCTACTTAGTGCTGGACTCGGGCCGGGCGGCCCGAACCGGAACCGGCCCGGCCCGGTTACTGTGTGAACCGGCCCGGCTCGGTGGCCCGGTCCACCGGCGGTTCGGGTCGAACCGGCCCGGTGGATACCGGTTCCGGGCCCGGGCCCTCTATTTGGTGAACCGGCCCGGCCGGTTCGGGCCCGGTCCGGGCCGGAATATTTTTTTTTTAATTTTTTTTTGAAATTTTTTTAATTTTTGGGTTGGATTAGGTATTTTGGGCCATTTGGGGTGGTTTGAAGTTGAGGGGGAGGGGTAGGGGGTTAAATAAGAGAAGCCAAAAAATCAAAAAAAAAAAAAGGGCGGGTGAACCGGCCCGGAACCGGTCACCTGCCGGTTCGGGCCCGGGCCCTACTTTTGGTGAACCGAGGCCCGGCCGGTTCAAGGCCCGAACCGGGCCCGGCCCGAACCGAGTCCAGCCCTAGTTCTACTCCTCTTAGGAGCAAATTTCATATACTACATACATTCTAGGATACACATAAATCATATACTACATACATTCTAGGATACACATAAATTAGATGATACGGAATGATGTAGAAGGTGTTGTGGCCGTTATGCTAACATGACAGTGACAAGGCAAAATATAATCCCATTTAAGATATATTTTTAAAAGTACATTTTGAGCCATTACGCAGAGCATTCCATAGTTGAATCGCTATCACGATACCCTTTCGTGTAATTTTACATTTATTTAGGGGTGGACTCGGGCCGGTTCGGGCCCGGTTCGGGCCTTGGCCCGTTCGGGCCTTGGCCCGGCCGGGCCTCGGGCCAGAAAACTAGGGCCCGGGCCCGAACCGCCGGTGGGCGGTTCCGGTTCCGGTTCCGGGCCAAACCGGGCCGGGCCAGGCCAACCGGTCTATTTTTTTTTTTGGTTCTCCTTTTTAACCCCCTCCCCCTCAACCCCAAACCACCTCAAATGGCCCAAAATACCTAATCCAACCCAAAACTTAAAAAAATTTCAAAAAAAAAAATAAATTAAAATCCGGCCCGGACCGGGCCCGAACCGGCCGGGCCGGTTCACCAAAATCAGGGCCCGAGCCCGGACTGCCATCCCACCGGGCCGGGTGGCCCGAACCGGTGCACCAACCGGTTGACCGGGCCAGTCCGGGCCCGCACAGTAGCGGGCCGGTCCGGTTCCGGGCCGGTTGGCCCGGCCCGAGTCCACCCCTACATTTATTACCTTGTCAATTTACCAAATACTCCTTAGCCCTACTCATCTAACTTTTTAGCAATTACAGCTTTCTCAGCTATGCAGCCTCTACTTAGCTCACTAGCTGATACCTTTTTAACTTTCATTTTCCTTTTTACCATATCGTGCCAAACAAGACTCAGAGATTATGGAGAATTTCAAATAAGATCCTTCCTATTAAGCTCCAAATAAGATGCAACGACACATTAAACAAATAGAGGGTGCATTGATTGAGGAAATTCACCCTATGCAGCCATGCAGAGAATTAAGCACACCCTGCTAGCTTAAAGAGTTGAAAATCAAATTTTTCATCAGAATCTTAGAGCACATAATTTTCAAAGGAAGCAGAAGATTCAACCTTACCCCTAATGTCCATACACTTCATTTTCATATAAGTTGTATAAATATATATAGTTATCAAGGCCACCAGGGAAAGGAGCTTGCTCCCCTCTCTCCCAAAACGCAGTTACTAACCCATTGCATACTTCTGGGTCCAGCTCCGGGCAGTGGTTTCGTACTTGTTCCTGTCAGTCTTGTACATGTGAGCAATTTCGGGAACCAGAGGGTCATCAGGATTTGGGTCTGTGAGCAGAGAGCAGATGGACAGCAACACCTTCAAGTGCACAAGAAAAATAACACATGCTAAGCATAAAACCGAGTAATAGATTTTCCACTTCTAGGATGTTTTTACTTGGACTGAATTTGCTGGTCTGAACTGGTCTGGTCTGGTCTCTTTGTAGTTTTATAACTATCCAAGTCTGGTATGGTGTGGTATGGGACGGATTACAGTCCAAGTAAAAACATCCCTAGTCCTCTCACAATTGTGGCAATGACACTTGAACTTTTAGTATTATGGCAACTACTACGAGTGAGGTACTTTTGATGCCACCACCCATGAACTTTTGCATCTTTACTATGATTATCATGTAACGTGGCAAAATTCAAATAAGCCCATCAAGAGTGTTAATGTCATAATAGTTAAGAGGGTTAAAAGTGAACCCTTTTAAAATTGGGTACCAAAAGTATCTCTACTGTCAATACTCAATAGTCACTAGTCAGTGGTCTAAGAGTGGAAAAATTACAAGACAGATACCAAAAGTCAGGGAACTACAAACAGAAATTCCAAAACAGGAATGTCATGTTTTTTTTCCTAAAATATGAATAATCACTGCCAAGTTTGGAAAATACTGCCATGTTTGAAGTCTGGTAGTGCCAAAACATGACAGTAATTAGTCCTGTTTTGAGAATAAACCATGACAATCCTATTTTGGAATTTTCAAACCTTTTTAGTCCTATTTCGGCTAATATTCTCATATTTCATGTGTGTGTTACTTTTTCAAAGTGCAACTTCTGTTGCACTCACATTGTTAACTTTATCAAGAAAACAATTTGCCTACGACATGTTAACTTCCATTTGAAGTGGCAGTAATTAATGGATTAAATGAAAACCTTGGAGATAGTAAGTGCTGGACTCCACTGTTCCTTCAAAATGTCTAGGCAAATGCTCCCGTTGCTGTTGATATTTGGGTGAAAAACCTTTGTCCTGAAAGCAACCTGTAATATTTATCCAATCAGAACCAATGTGATCGAAAATATCAGAAATGCATTCGGAGGCAGCACAAGAAAACACTTCATAAGTAAATCTTGAAAAAAATCTATGAGACATTAGAAGACATACAAGGAAAGATAGAGGACAAGAAGACTGGTACAACAGTTTCAAAAACTAACCTGTTTGGGGTGATTAGTTTTCAATTTTTGGTTAAATGATTTTACAGTTACAAGATATGACATTGTATTATAAATAAAAGCTACCCATGAGACACGATTCTTTTGAAAACGAAACACTTCTGGTTTTCAAACCACCTAAACAGGGCCTACTATTTTGAATGGTACCATTGCAAGTGTATAACCTCTATCTAGTCTAGTATGCGACTTTAATTTAATGAGAACTGTTAGGCTTTCATTTTAGTTATGTAAAATGCATTTAAGAATGTTTTCTTTCATCACATTTCCAGATTTCCTGGCTATCCCACACAAAAAAATCATGCTTTACAGGCTTTTGCACCAATAAAGGGCCATATACCAGGAAATAAGTTTAGAATCTAAGTAGGATTGCATGACTTGTAAGAGGTATACCTTGCAAAAGCAAAAAATTGTATATTAACCAACCCACCAATACACCCACTTGACTTCTTTTTAGGGGCTGGGTGGAGTAGTTTTTTTTACATATGCATGCATTATGTACACAGTATACTTTATCAAAATTACATATTAGCTAGGATCTTACAACCTGTATTATGATCCTCAAGTTATGAGTTGCTAACCCCCACAGGGACCTAGCTAGGAGCCTAGGACTTCAAGGTTGCTAGCCTAGCTACTCTGACAAGCTGGTAAAATTATCTGGTTTATTGTACTCATAGTAAACCAGCTGCACAATCTTTGATTCATAACCATCCAAAACATAGTTGTCATGGCGCATGGCGACCGCCATAGCTCAAAAGCATTTTTCATGGCGCATAAGCCACATATACAAATGGCACATATGGCGCTATGGTGACGACCACTTTTTCATGGTGATGGCGCATATGGCGCGCGCCATATCTCGCCATTGACTACAATGATCCACGGTTTGAAACAGAACATTCCAAAGGTATAATTTGCAAAAGAAATGAAAATCTAGGTTTGTAAGAAAAACGGTTAGCAAAAACATACTCCCTTTGTCCCTTTCTATTTAGCCAAACACTATTTTTCAAGTCAATGGTGTTGAACTTTGACTGATTACATATATACACACGGTAATATTGATAATATGAAAATGATATTAAAATGTTTTTTTGTTATAAATACTACTACCTCCATCCCACTAACATTGAGACAAGAGGAGATGGTATGATTATTAAGAAAAGTGGGTTTATGAGGTTGATATTGAATTGATAACATAAGAATAAAGTAAGAATGATTTAGAGCCACACAAACACTACCAAATTTGGTATGAGACAATCTTAGTAGGGTTTCCCGAAAAGGTAACACGGGACAATATTAGCGGGACTAAGGGAGTATCATAAAAGTATAAATTTATTAAGTTTCACATAAATATATTACTTAAAATAATGGATCAAAGTTTATCATCTTTGTCTGGAAAAGTAAAAAATGGCTAAATAAAAAGGGACGGAGGTAGTACAAAGTACAAACTGCAATGAATATGGTAAGAATGTCTGCACTTGTGAATGTGCATCATCAGCACAGGACAACACAGTCACACTAGGGATAAATAATCGTGCACATACATCGGTATCCATCTCATGCAATAGTCATCTCGGCATTAAAGATATGACGTAGAGGAATACCTTTGGTGGCTTGAATGGATAATCTGGTGGGAAATGAATGGTAACAAGAAAAACTCCACCTGCATATGGACTGTCAGGCGGCCCCATAATTGTTGCTTGCCAGTGAAACATATCTTCAGCAACTGGGCCTGGTTTTGACAACATGATTAAACAAACGAAGCAGGATGACATCAACGATTATCATAACAATTCAGAGCAAGACTATCAAACAGAATTTGGGGCAGGTGCTATTGAAAGAAATAAAATATAATCTTTAGAATGTATTAAAAATGATAATCAAAATACTTCACTAACAAAAAATCATCTATTTCAATTTCTTTTTTGCTGGTTTTCGCTTTTCACTACGCTGTTTAGTCTTAGAATCATTAGGAGCTCTAAGTACACTCCTACTGTTTGATGTGGCCTCTAGAATGGAGCAAATCATAAGAATATCAACATGGTCCTTCTCCTGTGAATGTTACTGCTGTCTAACTTGATCATAGCTGTTTGGATTCAAAATTTTCAATGGAGAGGCTTCCACAAGCAATTCAAGTTCTAATATTTGCTAGTTCAAGATTTGAGAGACGTGCAAGAAAACCAAATATGCCCATGGATATAAGATGATGTGGATCACTTTAAATCAGATCTTATAGTGATACATATTAAAAGCAAAAAACCGAATAAAAGGCTGGAACAAAGCTGCCCTTTAAGAGTATGAATGCAATCTTGGTTAGAGAATTAGACCTTCATTACAGAGACCAAGTTTAAAGCGAAACATTTTTTTAAAACGAACAGATTCACTTCTAGTATGAGCACTAATTACATCTCAAAATCATGATGATGATATAAATGTTTCCCCAAGTTTTATCCACAAGCCACCAGAAATTTTTTAATCACAAGTCACAAGAAGCTAAGAAACTCAAATCAAAATTGGATCTTCATATTGAAACAACCAATCTCATAGTGGTATCGAACAGATCACAGTCAATATCGAAAGCAGGGAAATAAGACAAATACTCAATCGAAAATGAGAGCTCCAAAAAAGAGAACTTTATAACAAGACAGATTAACTAACTGTGATAAGACATACCAGCACTGCAAGAGGTAGGAGGATCTTTCTGGAGATCCTTGAGCTCTTTCAGAATTCGCTTCGATGCCATTTCGAACCCTAACCTCCCAAAAAAGAAAGCATATATTACATACAATCATTGATAATAACTTAACTCAGCTCTACACCGACAAACTTATGCAAATGCATATGGAAAGATAAAGGAAGGGATTATGTGGATCTTCCCATCGGAGCAGCGGTGGTTGGGACCGGGTCTTACCTGAGAGATCCTCCTACTTCAGGATGAGAGATTCCGAAAGACGTCACGGCGAGGGAGCGAGGTTAGCAGACTGGACAGCCGAGGTCAATATATAGCCAATGGATGTTTTTGTTTAAATTTATCCGATTTTATATACTTCGGACACATGCATTTGTTGGATAAAATGACGATAGAAATTCCTTTTATTTATGCCTCAATTCAGGGATTGCTGTGCCGGGTTTGGGTTATTATCTTCTATTTTAAATAAATGGTTTATTTTAGAAATTATATAAAAAAATACTCTCTCCGCTCCAAATGAAGTTTCATCTTTTCTTTTCAGAATGTCCCATAATAAAGTTTCACATTCAACATCTTTATATACTTGATAAGTTTTTATCATTCGTTTACCCTTTTACCCTCACATCATTTCATTGAATTGGTGTCTTACCCTCATTTCACTATTCATTATCCCCTTTAGTATACTCATTTGGTTACTATACTTTTTAATTATCTGAGGACATTTGTGAACAATCAACTTTATTTCCTATTTTACTTAAAAACCTGTGAAGTCAAACCAGGAACTTATTTTCGGGACGGAGGGAGTGGTTAATAATAAAAGTTAATATTGAAAAACTCTAAATTCGAAACCATGAGGTGGCCACCAATAAGACGCCTACTCGTGGATGTTCACAGGGATGGAGACAGGAAATGAGCAAGGGGGGCCAGGGTGAAATAAGAATATATAATAAAAAGGCAATAAACATTACATAATGTAGTAGTATTCATTTAAAACATTCAAAAACACATGACGAAATGCCTTGAGAGTTAAAATTTAGAACGTCGTTCTTACATGTCACGGAAATCATCTATAATAGAGTCCACACTTTTTTTTTGTGCAATTTGCTTCTCAATATACACCAACAAACAATCGGTAAGAAATTCATCTTCCATTTTGTTTGTGATGGGATATTAGGTCCAGGCCCAGTATCCTTGATCCGAAATAAGGAAAAGGCCCAACGGAAGTGTTCGGCCCGAAGTATTGTAAACATCCCGGACAGCATTCGACACATCTCCATCCAAGGGAAATACCTCGCCCGAATAGTATTCGGGCTATAAAATCTACTTGAAGTAAATCCACAGAGGTTCTACTGTACGGGCAATGATCACTATTCAGATAGAGCTATCTGACCGGCGTTCGGGATATGCCACCTAAGGATACACCAAATATTCTGCCACCGGGGGCCCCGTACCCCGAACGGTATGCCTGAATGCAACAAGCAGCAAGTGGCAACCGCATTTAAAGCTATAGTATGGCGGGAACAAGTGGGAGGATGGCAAAGAGGCAGCAACCAATAGGGCTTGACCACGTGTCCTTCCCACCTACCATTCCTTGCTATAAATAGTTGCATTTAATTCTTTGTAAGGGGTTAGCATTTTAATACTCAGAGCTTAGCAAATAGAAATACTCCTCTTATTCTTGTATTCTCATATTAACCTACCGTTCGGGTAGTTTCAGTGTAACCGCAGAATTACTGAATACAAGTGAGCTTCTGAGTTGATCAATCTTTCATTACTTTATATTTTATACACTTTCCAAACCAACCCAACATCCCCACAATATCCAGAGCTTGTGTTGGGCTTTCGGATCTTCGGGAATAAACATCAACATTGGCGCCGTCTGTGGGAAACTGAACAAAAATTCCAAGCAAAACCTTGATCTAAGCACCATTTTCTTTCAAATGGCTAGAATCACTACAGCAACACCAAGTTCCACTTCCAGAGGCCGAAGAGGCAATGGATCCTCCGAGGGGTGGTCCATGCAAGGACAGGCCAGTGGCAGTGCCACCCAGGAGTTAGAGGGCATCATCCCTCTGGACGTGAGGAGGAACCCTCAGTTGATGAGGGAAATGGCAGAGGTTATGCAACGCATGGCAGACGAATAGGAACAGGGATACACCGATGAGACTCATGGGCCGTTATCCCCTGTTCGTCCTATGCCATCCTTCGACGAAAGGGAAGACACTGAGACCACCACGGCCTCAGCACATTCTCAGGAGCATCGAGGAAATCACTGGAGGGCCCACGCCCCCAGGCATGAACAGCAGGCACCAACCAATCGAACCCCGTTCGTGCCTCAAAACGAAGCCCAATAGAGGGAACCTACCCCCATGGTGGATCCCGTTGGGCAACATTTCCAGTATGTCGAGAGGGATGGGGAGCGTTTCATTCGGAGGAGGGCAAACACAGCTGCCCCTCCCCCGAACAGGATGCCAGAGTTTGTGGAAGCAAGGATACCACAAACTCCCCGAACGGCCCAAGATGAAGAAATTGCCGAAATGAGGAGGCAAATGACTGAGCTCAGAGAGCAGATGAATCGGACGCCCCCGCAAACCCCGCCAGCACGGGTTGGAATCACATCTCCTTTCACCAGGGAAATCATGAGCGCTGAAATTCTCCGAGACTGTCGCCCCCCGACCGGGCTCACATATGATGGGGTAGGTGACCCCGAAGTACACCTGAGAAGCTACCAAGGAGGCCTCATGCTCTTTGGGGCCACTGACGCCGCCATCTGCAGATTGTTCTTCAGCACCCTTCAGGGAACTGCACAAGAATGGTTCGGGACACTGCAGCCCGGATCAGTGGGAAGCTTCGCCGAACTGTCCACTCTTTTCCTGGCACAGTTCGCTTCTGGCACCAAGCAGAAGGTGCATTTTGGTCACATGACCACGGTGAGGCAAGCATTGAGGGAGTCCGTCAGCGACTTCCTGATCAGATGGAGGAGCGAGACCCTCAAGGTCACTAGCATGACGGACGAGACCGCCATCCTCTTGTTCACCGATGCTCTCCAAACCGAGGAGCTATATAGAGAGCTGAAGAAGAACCCGGGCACCAACTACCCGGAGGTGTTAGAGAGGGCCAGGAGACATACGGCCCTGGAAGAAGAAATCAAGTTGAGGGACCGAACGGACCCGCAACCCCTCACTACAAGGTTGGCGGGCCGTTTGGGACCCACACCAGCTGCTGCAGCACCTCGCTCGCCGCAAGACCGGACAGTTCACACCCCTGGTCATGTCTATTGCTGCGTTTTTCATTTGGAAAAGAATGCCATTCCTCCCCCGACTGACACAAGGGCCGTAATGGGGCCAACCCCGAATGCCTATGCATATATGGTATGAATTTTTTTAGAATTCATTAATATGTATTTTATTTTTTCGGATGAGATCCGAATTTATTACATATTTCTTGCGGATTTTAAAATTTAATTTTCAAGCCGAGCATGCACAATATTTTGTTTCGTCACAGGGACAGTTTGAATTGGTGGTATAGCATGATCCGAATGTATGTTTTTATATTATGTTGTTTTACGACCTGCATGTCGTTTCCCACTATCCCCTGTTTTTCAACCCCATAGATTTTTAGTAGTACACTACACAGGTTGAAGATGTCAAAGAGAATGAAGATTTTGGGATCATGCTATATGACTGCACCAGTTTTAAATTATTCATTTAAATATTCGATTGGTGCATGTGTGTAATTATTAGTCCCGACTAATTATAAGTCTAAATTGCTTTCCCAATATGACCACCATTTAAACTATGCTAGTCGTGATATGTGTCTGCCAAAGCAGAGCATTTCACACTATTTTAGGAAGATGTTTTGAATGATCATCATTCCCGGATCTTAATATTGGTTTGTACTTACAAGGCCATCAAAATGGTTTTGGGCCTTGAAGCAAGGAGTGTTTGGATAATCAAATGATGTTAACCAAACAAACCAAGAGTTATATATGATATGATTAACAAGAGTTGTTTACCTAAATAACTAATTTTTAAGTGATAAGCCAAAGCTTACTTAAATTTTAGTGAAATATGGATCTTGGACTGCTATATGTGGGACTTTCTATTTCATATAGTGGGAGTTATTTTTTAGCATTATTTAAAATTCTTTGCATTATTTGTTGTAGTAAATATGGCCACCAACACAACTTTTTCACTGCGATCTATCCTTGAGAAGGAAAAACTTAATGGAACAAATTACATGGACTGGGATAGGAATCTGAGAATCGTTCTCAAGCAAGAGCGTAAAGAATATGTCCTTGACCAACCAATTCCTGCTGAACCAGCGGCCAATGCCGCTAGAGCCTTTAGAGTTGCTTATGAAAGGCATGTCCGTGATGAAGTTGATGTCACTTGTTTGATGTTAACCATCATGGAAGCTAATCTTCAGAAACAGTTTCTGAATCGTCGTGCACATGACATCTCTAATGAACTCAAGAACTTGTTTCAGAACCAAGCACGGATCGAAAGGTTCGAGACGACCAAAGCTTTGTTTCACACAAGGCTTACTGATGGAAGCCCAGTTGGACCTCACGTGCTCAAAATGATTGGGCATAGGGATCACCTGGAAAGGCTTGGATCTCCAATTAGTCAAGAGTTGGCTACTGATGTGATTCTCGCATCACTCACTCCGGCATATGACCAGTTCATCATGAACTATAATATGCATGGTCTTGAGAAGATCTTAACCGAATTGCATGGAATGCTCAACTCTGCTGAGCAAAACATCAAGAAAAATCGGAGTGACATTTTGATGGTCAAAAAGGGGAAGGGATTCAAGAAGCATGGTAATGGCAAGGTTGGTGGAAACAAGAAGTCCAAAAACCTGGTTAAGAACTCAGGTAAAGGCAAATCTGTTGCTAGCTCTACTTCTAAAGAAGAGCAAAAATGTTTCCACTGCAACAAACTGGTCATTGGAAGCGGAATTGCAAGGCGTATTTGGAGGAATTGAAAAGGAAGGGGCATGGTGATGCTTCCAATTCAGGTATCTATGTGATAGAAGTAAATGTTACTACCGCTACTTCATGGGTATTGGATACCGGTTGTGGTTCTCACATTTGTTCAAATGTGCAGGGACTAACAAGGAGTAGAAGGCTGGCTAAAGGTGAAGTTGACCTACGAGTAGGCAATGGTGCAAAAGTTGCAGCATTAGCAATAGGGACATTTACTTTGAGTTTGCCCACGGGCTTAGTTTTAGAACTTGATAATTGTTATCATGTATCTGCCATTAGCAGGAATATTATTTCTGTTTCTTGTTTGGACAAGAAAGGATTTCATTTTATAATAAAGAACAACATTTGTTCTATTTATTTTAATGAGATCTTTTATGGTAGTGCTAGT